AAAGAAGGATAAGAGGCAGAAACCAAAAAAAAGACCTGGAAATCACGACGCCTAGGCAGTCGGAACCATTTTCATTGCTTTTGATTGAGATTACAGGTTCGATACGCTCCAGATTCATGACCATATTGCAAAGTAAACGCGAAGAAAATAATACATCACAGGTTTGTCACCATACGGTGGACAATCGGGACCGCACTGGGAGGAAGACTGCCCATTTCAGTAATAACCATGTCGACGTACTCAGCAGGCGTAACATCATACATGATGTTCAGCAGCTGCAAGTGAGGAGTGTTATGCCAGTTCGTAAGAGGCGACGAAGAAGAATTGTGGGGGGTAACAGGAGGTTCAGGAGCCGGGGTGCGGTTTGCGCCCTTCTTATTCTCGGGCGGAGGGGGCACATACGCATCTGCCGGGTCGCGAACGACGAGGGAGATAGGGGTGTTCATGGGTAGCAGCTCGTTGGCATCGGCAATCTCGTTGACGACGATGCTGTCGAGGGCGACGCGGTCGGTGAACTTGATTGTCTCGCAGCAGACGATGACGGGGATTTCGACGCCACTGGCGCGCTCCTTGGCGGACATGGCGACAAGGGCGGTGCCGACGCGGGAGTACAAGCCGCCGTTACTGGTCATGGCGTGGGCGCCGAGGAAGACCTTTGTGGCGTCCTTGATGGCGTGGGTGATGGCGTGGACGAGGGAGTATTGGACATCGAGCCCGCACTTGGCGAGGTCGCGGGCGAGGCTCTTGCCCTCGAAAAGAGGTCTTGAGTCGATGATTGAGACGCGGAATCGCTTGCCTTGGTTGTGTGCTAGCAAAAGTGTCTGCTTAACGATGCTGCTGCCGGCAAATGTCACAATCACATCGCCATCTTGGACCTTCTGTGCGGCGCTGTCGGCGATCACCTGGTCGGCGACAGTAATCTTCTCCCGGATGAAGCTGTCAATGTACTCGCAGAGGGAGATCTTTGCGCTCGCCTCGGGGGTAGAGGGATCAATTCCGGAAATGAACAGCTTCAAAGCACGGATGGCATTTCCCTGACTGATGGAGAGGGGTCGGCAGGTCGAGAGATAGGTGATTTGGTGCGAGAGGTGTGTTGTCAGGTGACGAGCCAGCGAGGTGCCCAGGGGAGTTGTGTAAGCTTCAATGACCTTAAGAAAGCGACTCGTCAGTATTCAAGATCATGTCTTGTCGGGATGAAACAAAAAGAATAACATACTCGTTTAAAAGCAATCAACGTAGCCACGCAGCGCGCACTGCTGCCACAGATAGTGTAGTCCATCAACTGCATGCCCAAGGCCAAGATGGCATGGTGTACTTCCTTTGTGGCACCGGCGACAGTGACACGGCGCTGTTGTCCGTACAAATGTCCAAAGATAGCAACCTTCTTATCATCCTTCTTTTTCTTTTGCTCCACGAGAACGGATCCAGTCTGCGCAAGGGGACCCGAGCCACGGCGCGGGGGCGGTGCTCGCGGTCCCTTCTGTGCAGAGCCAGGACCGGCAGCATCCTTCTTTGGTGTAGTTGGTGGACGAGCCTGGGCTCCGACACCAGGAATGGGAGTGACACTGGTGGCGGCACCTCCTTCCTTATCAAGTTTCTCTCGGATACGTCGGGCAGCCTTCTCGGCCTTGGCTTTCTTCTTCAACTCGGCTGGGCTAAGCGGCTTGTCTGTGGCACCGTCTGTGGACGCGGGCGCATCTTCGGTGGGCTGGGTGGGTTTTGAGTTGCGGATCGGGAGAGTCTGCGGAGAGTTTTCGGTCGCGGGTTGAGCTTGCTCTGGTGCCGATGGGACAGGGGTCGAGACTTGCGCGGTCGGCGCTATATCGGAGGATTCCGTCATCTTGTCTGTGAATTAATTCTCGTGTGAGAGTGGATCAGTGAAGGTGGTGGGGAGAAGGGAGGGTTGACTCACGCAAAAAGAAATGATGCCATAAGCGGCCCACTGAGCGGCGCAGCCCTAACTTGCGGTTCATCGCGGTACAACAACAATATGTATAATTGTTGAATTGTTCTTGAATAACTCTCAGCGTCTATTCAGCTCAATACTTGGTTTCAAACAGCAATTATTTACTATTTTAATTAAATGGCATGAGCTCCATATAAGAGTGCGGCCTGAAAGAAACTCGTGATACCCAATGAGCAGGGTAGTTGGCATTGAAACATGCATAACATCAAGTGTCTCATTATTCATCGCAGGGGCTCGCTATAACAGAGATAAGTACACAGGCCAAAACTAGTCTGGTCCCAATTCAAACAAGGAAGTCCAAACAAAGACTTCAAACATTCCAAGGGGCATCGCAGAAACGCGGACAAAGAGATCGCCGCCAACTCCATTCAATCCCTGTACACCCAAAAGATAAAAAATAAAGGCATATCCACATATTAACGATTGTTGACAATGGTTCCCAAGGCACGCCGTTTCCGGGTCGTATGCTCCTCGATCGGGCGGAACCGTTCATGGTCTGTGGCCAGCTTTCTCTTGAAGACACTCAGGTCACCAAGAAGATCATGCATGTGATTTTGCATCTGTTGAGCCTCTTGCTCAGTGACATCATCGGTGGTAGTATCATCATCTTCCCAGACGTCCATGTCAGATTCGGCATCTGATACCACAGGAGAGCCTTCGTTGTCTTCTGAATCATGACTGGGCGGTTGATTCTCATCTTGCAGAGACACAATACTAGGCTTTCGCTGCTCGAGGGTAATTGCTGGGATTGGGTTCTTGAGACTCTCAACCGCGAGCTTCAGATGCATGCGCAAAGCGTCGTTTTCTGTTTGCAGTTGTCGAATCTTGCATTCACTGACCATCTTATTCTCTTCCATGAGACGTTGCATTTTCTCGACTTTCTGTTGGTACTCTTCAAGCCTTTCATCGGAGGCCTCGCTTGCCCGCTGGTTGAGTGCTGCTTGGCTCACGCTGAGTTGAAGGGTGCGAATTGTCTCTGTCATCTCCGCAATCTGTTGATCCCGCTCAGCTGCCGACATCTGATCTTGGTTGACCCGTGCCCGTGTCCGAATATTCTTGGCCTGGTCCGCATAACGAAGAGTCGAGAGTGTCTCTTCATAGTCGGCAGGTGCAATACAGGCAATCATCGCAGTTTTGGAGTTACCGCCTAGACTGTCCTTCAATAGCCATGTGAGGATCGAGTCGCGGTATGGTACCAGTTCTTTGCCCTTTCGTGGGCCACGGAGTTTCTTGGGATCTGCGAGCGCTGCAATGACACGTCCCAATGTAGTCAAAGACTTGTTGATATTTGCACCCTCACGAAGTCTAGCTCCAGTCGCTTCGGTAGATTTGGCACGCTCGGAACCTGCCAGATCGACCAACCGAATCCGAGCAGTGCGCTCAGTTGTTTCATCGGTTGACAAGTCGTGATGGATCTGTTTTAAAGTAATAGTGAAGACTGCGTGAGATCGAGACGAAGTGTCGTTCATCTTTGTGCTAGCCGTAGTTCGTGAGACGTCGCCCTTTCGCATAAACTTCATCAATTCATTGTAGTTCCTTGCGGTAACTTCTGTCAAATCCTTGACATAAGGACCCTCAGATGGCGATTCACGAATGCGGAGATAATGCGGGGGATCTGTTCGTGGGACCAAAAGATCGCGAACATGCTCGTTGTATACTTCGAAATACGAGACTCGGACGTTGTAGCTGATATCGGGAGAAGGCGAGTTCTCAATGCGCTGGAACAGATCCTCGCATGTTCGAGGAATCAAGCCGGGCCTTTCTGGCGTTCCCATCATCGTGTAACTCTTTCCTGAACCCGTCTGTCCGTATGCGAAGATACACGTGTGGTATCCTTCGAAGTTGTGATCCAGGAATTCTTCACCGAGAGCGTTGTACACATCTTCCTGGTGTGCATAATGTTCGTCCTCCTCATCATGGGACCAAAATGAGTTATCGAAAGTAAAAGATTTATCCTCGAGGGTCTTGCCGCGGGCCTGTGACTTGGGTTTTCCTTGATCGCCAGGTTTCGGTTTCGGGGCTTGAAGACATGTCACCTGCGTGTGCGGGTCCATCGAAATTAAACATTCTGCCTTGCGATCGATTTCTGCAAGAAGAGGTCAGAATACACCCTCCATTTTCGGCGTACTAGGCCTCCCCGCATCCCTCCCAAACACCTACCTCGAGGTAAGAACTTCCGCACTCGCACGACGACGCGCACATTTCCCCCTGGTGTTGGACTAGCCATCCCATCTCTGGTACGGGATATCGCGAAACCCTCTCGCGCGCGGAAGGAAGGACTTGAAGCTGTGGATCGGAGGGTGGCGGCGGAAGCGGAAGTGGAGATAATGCTGGGGGAGGTGATTCCTGTGGCGGCCGATATGTCGGAAGAAGCGGCTGAAGATATCGAGCCTGGGCCCGGATGGCCGATGTGGTGATAGAAGCGCGGATCTAGCGCCATGTCCCTACTGCTGTCGCTCAATAGCTGTACACAAGCGGTGACGGCGTCGCGTCGTCGATCAAGAAGAGAGTGGTACATGCAATGGGATTTACATGGAATGGGATTGACAAAGGGGAAACAAATGATTGGAAAGGGAATATGTAGACTGGAATGAGTGAAAGGGGGAGGGGGTTCGGTACTGTTGCGCGTTGTTTCCTTGGGGGAAGTTCAGTTCATTGTAAACACACGTTGTGAGTCTAGAGCATATTTGAGGGAAAGAATGTATATTAAAAAAGAAAGAACGAAATTGAAATTGGAATTGAAATCGGAAATAATAATAGTAAAGTGTGATTTCCAAGGTTCTACGACATCAAAGTGTCACCGTCTATAAAGTCCTGTTGCCATAGCAATGGCCCGCTAACTCCACTATATATACTTGCTCTTCTACTGAGACCTATTGAAACATATTGAAACCTGCAGTACATCCCTTATCTACTTTGGATTCACTCGAAATGGAAAATGTGTCAATTAATTTGGTTTCTGTTTTATATGAAATCCCCTTCTGCATATCACTTTCAATTTCTCCCCGATGTACAAAATGATCGCTATGCACATTTACTCATCAAATTCGGTAGTCTCCGCAGTCATAGCTTCGACTAAGTCGGCATCATCGTCTCTGAGAGGTCTTGGGTCGGGTACTGGGTTGCCAGAAGCATCCATGTGTTCACTCAAAAGTTCAGTAGGGCCCACCTCGCTGTGGGAGGCCTTTTGCGTGGCGTGGGTCCTGGCTCTGACATTAGGAGCTTCCTGGCCCTTGTTTTCACTTTTCTCCTGAGGCATAATGTCTTTATAATGTTAGCGAGAGTTCAAACAGAGCGTCGTAACCTCCACCGCCATCTTCTCTGACGCTCTTTTCAGGGGTGAAAGGGTTGAGGCTATAGCGTACCAAGGGTTGGTTGGTGATTGGTATTAGTGTGTAGAGCTTGTAGAGCTTGTAGAGCTTGTAGAGTTTGTAGAGTTCGTTTGTTTTGTGAGTTCGTTTGTTTTGTGTGATGAATGTTTCTAGTATCTGGTGACAACTGTCTCTATTTATGAGATTGGAAGTGGTGGCAATGATTTGATCATGACGATGACATTTACCACCAACCTTTGGTCCTTCTCCGCAATTGCCATTCAGATGCATTTAGTTGTGCCACTAATTCGATTGGGTTCTGAGATCTCATTTAGTTTGAGCCAGTCAATAAATGCTTGTTGTGGGCTGTGGTTGGTCTGAGGCAATTCCTGGAAGCTGGATGTATGGATATGCCATCATAGGTTTTTTGCCACGAAGCTCTCTTTTGTTGTAAAGTTTTGGTACGCCACGGATGGTACCTCTTTTATCCATCTTTCTGATGGCAATTGAAGCGCATTGATCCTGTTGGCCTAGTAACAACCCTGGTCGAGGGTATCTCACAGGCTGCAATCCGGTCATGTGCAGGTGAAAGCAAGTGCCCAGAGCTATTATTGACACCTAGAAGTCAGCAAGACCCATAGCCTGTTTAGGAAACCACTAAACTCACTAAGCACTGAGCCCTCCCAATATTAGAACGAATGAAGTATAGATGACGCCGAGATATCAGTTACAAATGGATCCAGGCAATGTTTGCGGGGCCCCGGTGTTTGCATGTGGCAATACGTCTGGCAAAATTATGAGCGGTGACTTAGACGGTAAGCCATGTAAGCGAGTGACGTACCCGTGCTCTGAAAATGCCATACTTCAGATATTCTGTCTGACATACGACTTACATTCTATTCAAATATGACATATCTATTAAACAGGAAAACATGAAGAAATTAGAAATTGAAAATGAATCACTGTATAATCCACTATATTCTTGACTCAATTCACCGATGAGTGGCGAAGATGTGAGGATCAACGGACAAAACACCCAAGCCTCTATAGAGACCTGTAGGTTTCCTACAACTCAATTCTAGCGATATCTCTTCTCTGAACCGGGAGACCATCTAATCTGTTTATTAGACAATCTCAAGAAGGCTTGTCATTAACGCTCTCAACACCATCGAATCATACCTTATTTGATCCATCCACCACCCAAAGAAGTTTGTCCAACTTTACTCCAAAAGCTACTTGCTTTGTGGGCCTGATTAATTTCGGCTTTGAGTACAGGGTTAATTCCCTTCTTTCGCAGTTTTTCTTGCTCCTCGAGAGGAATTTGATGGACTGGATGATCGGGTCCAGGTTTTCCATCAGGGTCATATGGCTTAGATGGAGTAATTCCCCATTTCAATGCAGGATCTGGCAGGGGGATTTTCGGCTTTTCAGCAGCTGATGATGACCCTGATTTGTTCTGTTTCGATTTTCCAAACATAGCTTAAGTCCAGATAAGGCGGGATGGGATGTAAGGGTCGACTTTAAACTATATGAGTTTGCGGATTGTAGCTCGGGATATTTGTACATTCGCAGTGATTCCTACGAACTATTTATGTGAATAACTCGCAGGGGGCTAAAAGTGCTGCCAAGCGTTGACCTCATCGCCCCCAAAGCCATGCCGTCGCAAATCAAGTTTGATGAAAATCGCGTTCGAATATAGCAAGATGTGCGATGTAGACAGTCTGTGTGGGCATATCACTTTAAGAGAATGAATGGCTTGATCAATAGTATATCGAATCCTCAAACAGTTGCTATATTTTCTTCATGATGGCCTCAATTGACCGCCATGGGGGCTTGCATATCCAGGCATCCTAATTGATCTGGGCTGTTTGAACTGTCTCTCGTAGTTCCGCCCGAAGCCTGGCAGGATTCACACCCACCTACCCAACTGCACTCACAAGTTTCCAGAGTCATGAAATGTCTCGAAACTTGAATCCGTTGACATCAGTGCCCCGAATCAAATTCAAGCAAGACACCGTCGTCCAAGAGAGCGGTACGGTCATAATGATTGATGAACCTCAACCGATGCACAACTGCGAAGACAGTATGAGTCAAAAACCCAGTTTCGATGATTTCCTACATGAAATCCTCGGTCTGGTTGTCAACACTGCGAAAATGATTTGTTAGTGTTCAGTGTAAATATTCCGTTCAATGAGAAAACACAGTTTGTCGCTTCATCAAGGATTAGTACCTTTCTTTTTCGAACCGTTGCATGAGCGAGGCAGAGGAGCTGCTTCTGGCCCTGAGACCCAGTAGTGAGTTTCATGGTCATGTCAAGTCCAAACTCCTTTTCAATCTTCCCCCATAGGTGCACCTTTTGTAGAACGCTAGTAACCTCATCATCCGATGTTCCCTCGAGGCGATCGACATTGAAGCGAATCGTCCCGGCGACCAAGAAGGGGTCTTGTGTATTAACATTCAGTTTAGTTCTGGTTCCAGCTCGGGCGTGCTCGGACAAGTCGAGTCCATCGAGACAGATTGTGCCTTCTTCGAATTGGACCATGCCAAGGAGGGCGAGGATATGGGTCGTCTTTCCGCTACCGGATGGGCTGCAAATAGCAATCTTCTCTCTAGCTCGGTCATTGAGATACCAGCTAGAACGGGAGGGAGTGATGCCCTGATAAATGTAAGCAACCAAGCATACTGACGCCCAAGTTTCCTTCAGGGGGTTTATAACTTACGAGTGTCTTGCAACGACATCTGAAAACTCGATGGCCCCAGCAGATGGCCATTGTGTGGGTAAAGATGGCATTTGCAAAACTGTACTTTTCTCTCGGTGATGGCTGCATATACCATCGGGACATCGTCCTGATGCCGAAGCATAGGAGTAAACAGAAAAGCCTCTTATTCAAGTCAGATGAGTCTCAGTTATCCAACAGCAATATACCTATTCATCTCAGGAAGCAGGAATAAGATTCCTTCATTAGAGCGCTATTGAGGTGCCTTCCTATTTCTACCTAAATCAAAGAGAGCATCTCAAAACGGAAGGCACCCACCTGAGGGTGCCTTCCTATTTAGGATAACTCGTCACCTACCCCCAGTTCCCCCCGTTACCTGCAGCCATTGGAGAAATATAAATACCTGCCCCTTCCCACTTTTTCTCCTCTTCTTTCTTTCTTTCCTCAGTCCCCACTCGAATCTTTGACGCGGTCCTCGAGAGGCTGAAACTAGGTTGGGGCTTCGGCCCTGGCCTAATGGCACGAAGTATGTTGGGACTAGCCCTCTCAACCTCTGCGGATACAGACTGTACTCTCTTGGGTTCTCCATTGACCATTGGGGGCTCACCCTCCCTCCCCCGCATCAAGACACCATAGAACCTTCATTTTGCCCCAACCCAGTTGCACGGGGCCTGTGTGCAACACCTGAGCAAGACTTGCACCTTTACGTGGTGCTCAGGATAAGTAGCCTTTACGGTGAAACCAAGCAAGTCCTTTCAACTCTTGAATATAGGTAGAGCTTGTATTGTAGATTGTAGACTTAACTTACTGGAATGACAAACACTACAATATTTCGCATTTTCCGGAGTAGCCCCGTGTTGCTGAAAACATCTAGCAAAGCAAGCTTGCGTCGAGAGTAGAGTGCTCTTTCCAATGCCTATAGACACACCTCAGAGTCAAAACCAGTCCCATTATTTGTGTCGATCAAATCATTCTCACATATTGTTCTCTGTTTCTGTCCACTACTGTCATTCCGTTGCCAGTAACAGGTGTCTGGTCTCCCTGGGGAAGTCGAGTGATACCATTCTCGAACCCACAACAGGAGATCACCGTTCGATACCGGCTTTTGTCCATTACGTTGTCTCCAATAATGTTCTGATGGGCTGTTCGAATCTGAATCCATGAGATCTGAGCACAGTAGGTGATAGATGAGAGGTTTATACCAGACAGCTCTCCAGCAGTAACAGTTTCCCCGAGTATGCTCTCTATCAGAGTGGATTTTCGGCAACCAATGGAGACCCACAACCATAGTTATGAGACCACCAGGGATTGTCAGACGAATATCGTGCAGAACAGGGGAGGAACCCTTGTCCCAAAGTCTTGACCCTTGAGCTCGATCGGCGAACGATTGAGATGTAGCTTGTGCATCTCCAGAGAACTGGGAGATCCTCGGCTACACTCTGACATCCTTGCAAGCAGTCATAGTAATGAGAAAACGGTACTTAGTCATCTATATTAGAAGAACCGGACACATGTATACCTCTTTGCAACTCAAATCATGCTTGAAGCACTGGAAATTCATTCGATGCTTCGTATAGAGTCATATCCGTAGATATGATACCAAAACACCCATAAGATACCTATATTAGAAACTATTAACATTGATATATGCACATCTAACTATAAATCTACTCAATATCTACAACACCAGAGTAAGGTAACCCGTACCACCGAAAATCCGCGCGAATCTATTTCGCCGGCGCAGCCTTCCAGAATAACCACGCAATCGCAGCAACGAACTTCATACCAGCAGCCATCCACAGCGCAGACTGCATACCACCACTGCTACGACTCAGCCATCCACCGACAATAGCACCGATCAGCAGACACACAACGCCACCGACACGACGGTTGCGCTTAGCATTCGCAGTCGGCTTATCAACGAGCTTCGGATCCGACGCAATATCAAAGTAAACACTCGTCAAGACCACAGTCGGGATCTCGTTGTATCCCAGCGCACGACTGCATGTCATTCCACCAGCGGACTGGAAAGCGAGCAGGCCGATCGGGATCAACTCGAGGAAGAGGGCCCCACCATCCAGGGCGGCGTCAGAGGAGGTGTGGGGGATGAGATCGGCTTCGATTAACGCGACAGCGATGACGATCATAATTGTTTGCACCAAGAATGAGGTGAAGAGGGTTCCGCGACGAAGGGCGCCGACGCTGCGCATCGCGATCGAGAAGATCATCGCGCCGAAGAAGAACGATGCGATCGAGACGAAGGACTTGAGCCAGCCCCATGGTTTGCTGTTTGGTTGATTGGAGGCGCCGAGACCGAGGAAGATGGTGTTTCCTGTTTTGAAGAAGTGTTAGCTTTTCTATTTGGTCTTTCGGGGGTTTGTCGCTTTCGCTTTGCGCCCCCTTTGCGGGGAGAGCGACCGCATGATTCGTACCCGTTTGCATTCCGAGGAAGCAGGACCACGCATTGTAGGCGCTGCTATCGCATAGACCAGTGAGGAAGGTGAGCATCAGACAGACGAAGTCTGCGTGTGTGGGGGTCAGGTTTTGTTTCCATCGTTGGACGACGCTGGACTGTTTGGCGGGAACATTTGGGGCTTCGAGATCGGGTGTCGGGGGCTGTTCTGTTTTCTCCATTTTGACGGGATGTGAATGTGTACAGAGTACTACAAGGTAATAAATAGATTGAGTCACAAGTCAACAGAATTTTCGTGTTCCTGGCCCGAGGCGACTTCCGACGGGGAAAAGTTTATTTCTCGGGGTTTGGTCCGATTGCGGTCTCTTTTGTCATGTACGAAGTATGGAGTAAGTAGATATCCTTGTCGACTTGATATCTTCAGGGCTATTTCGTATATTTCTTATAATACTGTAAATTCAAATATGGCAACTAAACCCCTTTTGAATTCTGCTGCCTTGAAGCTCAGCACGCAATAGTGGAGAGCTCTGGTCTCGTATAGGGCTGAATTAAGGTAAAGACAGATCTTATAGTTCATATTACCTCAGTCTGGTTACACCCGCAAATAAATATAGAAAACCCTGTCGGAATCAATTCTACATGTCACAGACTTATTATAGACATATCCTCCGTTGGTACACGCCTTGGGTTCAACGCCGACTCGGTGATGGACAGGGTTGCAAAAACCGCCGACTCACCGGCGAAATGTAAGTCATAACCACCATCCGTATTGACTGTACTTGCAATATTGTATGATTCGGTTTCTATTGGAGGGATTTTAGTCTTACCTAGTAATTTACCTGACGATCAGCTGAGACTATAATATGCACAATCCTAGTAAATCTTTTGCATCTAATGCAGCCACCGTTTGAACAAAGAAACATGTGAATTTTCTGCCTTCTCCCGCCCCTTTATCTCTGCTTCATCATCAAGATCTATTCTGATAGAAGATGCATGTTCGAATCCAGGAATTACTGATAATAATAGCACAATCTCCCTCAGCTCTGATGTGAACATACATGGTCAATCCCAGGCGCCATAATCTACAGCGGGATACCAAGACGCTAGATATCTGCCGTAAACCGAAACAAGTGCCCAGGTGAGTAATTGAGATGCAGTCTACGGAGTGCCAGGACCTTGGCAATGGCGAGGTTTTCGGGCTTGCGCACATTTTTGTTATCTTCTGTAAAACTGAGGGGGATATTGGCCCTTGTGACTTATTTGCCTCTTGGCCTTTATCTAGAGTGAAGGCAGCCTTTCCGCAGATGTCCCAAGTGCGCCGAGAAAGTCCCCCGTGATAATTACATTCTCGTCCGCTATGACAGAACGAAATTGGGAGGCATTTGTTGCACTAGACGAACTTAAAAACCGCTTCCGAAAACGAACTGGTTAGCCTATCCTTAGTTCAAGAAACTTCGTTTACAATATTTCAATCCGGAGACTTTTATTTCACTGTATTCGACACGGCTGTCGACAGAGACAAGGCATTGGACGCCCTTTGGCACGAAAAGGTTTCGGCTAGATTCGGAGGCAGGAAACCTTGAGATATAGGACTTATAACCCGTAGAGAATGCTCTGGTTGATAGTGAATGCCACACATTCTGTTTCCAGATCCACCATTGAGTAGTAGCATTATAGAGCCAGATTCCCTTTCATCTTCGCTTCCCCATCTTAATTATTGCTCAGCAAGGAAGTCATTGGTAGCGACGCTATTGAACGCGATATCGAAGAGACCTCCGAGGATTTGTACAATAGTTATAGCTTTAACTGGAATGACCACGAGCGACCTGTCAACCATTGAAAAAGAGGGTTTCCCGTGGACTTCATGTATCTTGCTCACAGTGATGATGTACGAGGCTTCGCCGTTGAACGCTCCCCAAGGCAGAGGAGTCTAGCCCCTGGGCCCGGGAGCATGGTATGTCTTACGTAATAAACTCACCCGACCTCGGGAGCCCTAGATCTACCCCGCCAGGTGCGATACCATCTCTCCTAACAACCTCGATATCCTTCCACCTTACCATGACACCTTACCATGAAGTTTAGGAAGTGACTTGCAAGAGAAAGTCTATTTAACCTCTATTCCAATATTGTCAATTACGTTACTTTTTTTTTTCTGGAACTTCATCAAGTCCCCTCCCTACAAAACCTCATACGAGGTTAATTATCACATCTCTCCCAAAATTACGGAGTAGTCGCCTTGATAATGACCATCACGGATATGTATTGCATGTCCCTTAATTTGCTAACGTCTGTGCATTTGAAAGTGTCAATAAGCACCCTTGTCGTATTCGTTCGAGGAAATAGGGAAATAGCGGCGTGCACGCTCTGAGAGCGTCAGGCCAAGCTATGTTGTACTATATTATTGTTATCAATATGCCGTTGCTTAGACTTGAAATCAAACTCACATCTTACAATAGACCAATGGTAACATCTCCTTTGACTCTCGCATAGATTTCAACCTAATTATCACATCAACCCAATGGTCACATCGCCCTTCACTCGCGCATAGAGCTCTACCTCAACTTCCAGATCCAGCTCAATCTTGATCTTCAAACTGCTGTCCTTCTCGCCCACTTTCGCTGGTCGATCCTTGATCCGCGATTCACGAATGGGTCCAATCCTTCTACCGGGGAGTGGCTCTGGGACATAATTTTCCAGGTATTCTTGTTGCGCAGCTGACTTTCGTGCGAGTTTCGCGGGCTTGCGGCCGCCTGTAGGGTTGGGAGGGGGTTGGACTTGTGTCTGCTCTTCTTCGGACTCCTCGTCGCTGACTTCTTGTTGATGTCTATAGAGGTCATTAGTCCCATGGAGGGTTAAGTGTTTAAAGACCAAGATATGGAGACGTACACTTGAGACATGATGGTGGACTGAAGATAATACTGAGAATTGATACAGCAAATTTTTATTTACGAGGAGGATGGTGGAATTCTGGATTATTTTATATGCTCTAAAATTATTAAGAGAGAAACGGGCTACAACTTGAGTGAAATGCGGCACCAGAGCAGAGACCCCCTAATAATACGCCACAGGCGCACCGCCAATGCTTCGATAACTGGTATTCAGGAGATTTTAAGGGCGCTAGGCTGCATGGGGTCGAAATAACGCGTCATAAGCTCAACCGTGGCACTATAAATGAAATAGATTGGATTCTCCTCAGTGACGCGTTTTCACGGAAAAAGAATCAGCGAACACCGACACCCCTCTCTAATTAATTTCAAAAAGAAAACATTCTCTGCGAGAATTTCAAAATCAAAGAATCATGGTCTTGGGACTACTTACTGCTATAGCAGCTTGTCCTGCAATCGTTGGTACTACCGAAGCAGTCCGCCAGGGCCAAAGAACAAATGCGAAAGAAAAGCACAGAGGCGTGAAATCGAATCTCATCATATCTTGCGCCAGGACCTCGAGCGCCGGCAGGTATATTGATGGATGCTCCGTAGTGTTGCGCGACAATAAGGTATGCATTCTGCGAGAACTGGAACCCCAACAAACCTGTTGCCTTCGCTAATGCAGTTGATGAACAGCTATGGATTGGATTGCCCAATGCTGAGGGTCGCACCGATTTCTCACTACATCCATTCGCGGGATACTTCCTCCCCTATCCCGAAAAGAACTGGGGTCGCAAGGGAGAAGGAATGGTCTCTACGATCTGCGATGAACCTCCACAACTAAATTGGATATACGTGGACGAAGAAACTTATGAGGTCAAATATGGCCTGCGAACAGACTCGGAAGACCATATTGTTGGGCCATGGGACTGCACGCCACTCGAGAAGAGAATCACTTTGGAAGGCTGGGAGGGTTTCATGGCTGTGGAACTGGACGGGGCATGGTCGCTCTATTTTGACCGGGACGACGATGGCTTGCAAGAGAAAATATTTGAAGGAAGGATTTTGGAAATTGAGCTGACAAGGAAAGAGAGAAGGAAGGGTAGAGATGATGAGGGTTAAGAAGCCCTCAAGAGGTAGAGGAATAAATACTACATGATTTATGATGAGCCGGTTCTATGAAGAAACAAAGTGCATCTATACAAGAAAACAATATATTTCGCAAACGATCTTATCGATTAGAAGGTGATCCGTTTTCTGCTCCAATCCCTGAGTGGGAATATGTACTTCTGGCTTCAAAAGCCGGGCGTCGAATGCCTATCCAATATAGGACGTTGGTGATTTAGAGAGTCCAAAGTGAATTCCTGTACAACAGAGGAGGGAATTGCCTGGTATATCGGACAGCGGTTTTCCTGTAATATTAATAGAATTCCACTTTCAAGAGTACTCGGAGACCCTTCCATTCCCAAAGATTTCCATTTTAGGCCCGTCTGGCCCAGGTGCGCGGGGCCATGTGGGAATCTCTGCGGATGCACATGGCATTGCTGCGTTGCTAGTGGAGGAGGAGATATAGTGGAGCAAAGGAAGTGTATCCAAGAAGAGGAGCCCCTGTTGCTGGTCTATTGCGTACCCAACCGTCTCAACCACGGACAGATGCAGACATAACTTCCACCAGTGTCAGGCCGTCATATCCATTGCGATATGCGATAGTTGCCCATGCCTTCGGTCTTCTCACTTCAGCCCGGGTATGTCGGGGCTGCTTGCGCTAACTTGCAGGGATCGCGACTCTAAGTCCGGTTAAGTCCAGGTTATTCATCTTAACTCCGTCAAAGGCAGTTCAAAAATTGCTTCGGATATCAGGTATTAATTGACCTTTATCTGTCCGATGAGCATCGGCTATTACACTGGAATATCTTTCCATCCTTCCTAACTAAACATTCATCATGACCACCACTAAGCCCTTGATTCTAATAACCGGTGCAAACCAGGGCTTGGGATTCGCAACTGCACAACAGCTGGCTAGCACTGGCAAATACAATCTTCTGATCGGCGCCCGCTCCCAGGAAAAAGCCGAAGGAGCAATCAAACAACTACATGAGTCTAGCATCGACAGCTCTTTAACGCCTATTGTCATCGATCTCGACCATGACGAATCCATCACTGCCGCAGCCAAGTTCGTCGAAGAAAGTTTCGGATCACTGGATATTCTCATCAACAACGCCGGAATCAACAGGTCGTCCGACCCAAACGCTACCCTACGGGAGACCTATCGAGCTGTGTTCGAAACCAATGTATTCGGTGTGGCAGTGATGACTGCTACTTTCCTACCACTATTACGCGCCTCGAAGTACTATGACCGGCGTATCGTCAATGTGACGAGTGGTCTAGGTCAGATTGGTATTGCGTACTCGCCTACTTCAGAGTACAGTGCGAAGATATGGGAGCTACCTGTCTACCGCAGCAGCAAGTCGGCTATAAATATGATTAATGCCGTTGATGCTGTTAGTCTTGGAAAGGAAAATATTCTTTCTGTTCTAGCTGCCCCGGGCTTCTGTCGCACCAACTTCGGGGGTGGAAATGGCGTCAAATCGGCGGAGGAGGGGGCTCAGCCTATTGTACGGGCCGCTACTGAGGGTACGCCGAAAGAGCTGTTCGCGAAGCTTGTGGATGATGAGAACACGCTGGTTGAGTTTGGATGGTAGAATCGAACTATTATGGAAATTGTGAGGCTGATGATGTAGAAAGAAGATTAGTGATAGTTAGATGAGATCTTGACATAAATTTGCCTCGAAAGTTTGCCGTGTTGAATAGGGCAGGCAACTGGCCGGTAATATTTCGCCAGTTGTCGATATCTCAAATAAAGTACAACTTCTTTTATACAATCCTTATCCGGAGGTCTCCAATAATTACGAGAAACTTTTCTTACGATAACTACTTGGATTGAGAACCGGGTAAATAGAAAGAAAGACCCGTAAATGCTGTTTGCCCTAGTTGGGTCAATACACCTTTGATGACTGCGGCCGTTAATGGAAACCCCGGGACAACACCGCAGGTGCACCGTCGTTGAAAGGATCATTGAAGTTGCCTAGATTCAACTGTGCCATATGGTGAGCGAAAGTGAAGGAATGGTCTGATTACAGAGCCACATCTCTTTATGCTATTGACATGCATTTCGCTGACAGAACCTGTAGCAATCTTGGACAGCCAAGTCACAATGCCCAAGTCTTCTCAATCTCAACAGAATCCTCCCCAATCTCCTTCCAATCCAAGCTGCCCCACCTTTCAGGCCTCTCAACAGCATCAACAAACTGTCTCAGCGCCAGCACCGTCTGCACCGCCCAACGCTTCTTACTAACCTTCCCAACGCCAACAGCCAACGGCGTCATAAGAATCCTCCCAATCTTCCCCTCCCCCTCCGCAGAGCGATTATGCCCCTCAACCTGACACAACAAGCTCCAAACACACTCATACACAACCTCCCGATCCCAGCAGACATCACCAGGCTCCCGCATGGTCGGACAGATAGCCACCCACCCACAGCCGTACTTATTCTGCTTGAGGTCATCTGGGAACTCGACAAGCGTGCATGAGCCCGGCGGCGCAAAACCGCGCCATTTCTCATAGAGGACTGTTTGTGCTGCGCGGGTCAGGGCGTGGTAGTCTTTTTGTGGACTGAAGGTCATCGAGATGGCGTGGTCGAAGGCTCCGTCGAGGCGGGCGTAGGAGTTTGCTGGTGAGACGATTAGGTCGAAGGATGTTCCTTCCGGGAGGGAGTTGAGGCGCTCGTTTATTGGGGTGATCTTTAGTTTTTCTGGGCTGTGGTCTGGCCAGGTTGTTTCGAGAGCATCGTTGAAGGCATCCAGGAAGCCGATGTCCATGCAGAGCAGGAGGATTTCGGGGATGTTGGTTGTCATCTTTGCTTGACCGGTCTGTTGGTGAAGAGAGAAATGTTGGCAGATTTTAGACAGCAGCGTGTAGTTCTAAGGTTAAATAGACCTCGGGAGCCTCAGGTCAGCAATTTACACAGCCCCGCGTATGTGGGGATAACATTGATCTTGATGATTGTGGCTTTGCATGTTGAAGATAGATGTCGATAAGTGAATGGAGGATGAATCTATCAAATACCAGCTGTACTTTAGGGGAAGCTACTAGGTACGTCCCTCTATCTTCTCTGAATTGTAGTTGTCATGATCTGCAGGCAGAAATATAATATTCAGGCACCAATGATATGGATCCACTTTCTTTTTTCAGAAGCATATGATGTGAATTCCTTATCGCTGCAGGCAGTCAGATGTTTATTGAAAGAATATAACAGGGCATAACATAAACATAGTTGACATGAAATTATTTCACGCCAGCAGGTCCGTTGCTGACATTTGTATTACCGTGGCTCTCGCGGGCCTATGCACATTTTATAACTGTGGTTAGCTATCAACAGTAGAAAATGGAGCCTGTTGGTGTTGGCGGGTTGGGGGGAAACATACAAGGGAAGACTGGTAACTACCATTCTCGAGAATTTTGGTTATGCAGACATCGTCATCGGAAGATCCGAACTCATTCTCAAGCATAGCCTTGCTAGCTTCGTTGAGAATGCCTTGAGCACCACCTCTTTGGGGTTCAATTAGCACCAAGCAACATAAACGAAAACCAAAAATGACCTACTTTTGAGTCACGAATATGTTATAAGCATTTATGACATTCACGAGCGGAATAGAACGATCAGAACGCCAGGATTTGAGGGCTTCGAGGTCGTCAACGAAGACGATGAAGTCATCCGATGAGCCTTTATAGAAGACCTTGGCGGCGGTATCGTTGGCACGAGACATGGTTAAAGTTGAATTGTGAAGGCGTCGCAAAGGGAGTAATTTCTTTTGTAGGAAATAGACGAAGGAAGGAGGTATAAAAGTAGAACCGAGAGTGGATCTCAAGAAGGTTCATATACAGTATCCATAAATGATATCACCACTATGTATGACGCGGCACTTCAAATAGTTCTTGGCCAAAACTATTTGCTCAATTATAGTGAGAGAGTAAGATATTGAAGACGTCGCTGCCTAGGTGCCCAGGCGTATAGACTCGAAATTACATAAATCTTTGAACTGTGGATGTTTTGCATGACGTCATACCTTTTGCGGTTAGTCTCCCACGCCCTTGAATCTGAATACGGTAATCTTCCCAATTAAACATACCGCCTGCTCAACTTGTTATACCGCCCGTTATTTCTTTACTTTGATTGGTGGGTATTTGACCAAGCAGAACTTAGGGTGCTAAAACTTTTGCTGTGTCTCGACTCAGTCCATACCCAAATGAGCACTGAGCCCCACAATACGATTTACTCGATATGGACCTCTGAGAAACCACACGATTTTAAAGCTACGGAAGGCCTCGGTGAGGCTCTAAATTGTGGTGGAAAGTGGTGCTATTAGCCTATTACATGTGTAGTACGTATTTAGAGCTTACTAGTTAAGGTCACCTAGCAACCCAATAGCTTAGTACGGCGTAATTTATTTTTTATATCTCACTAGTAACCCTAACCTTCTACTAAAAGCCTCACTTGATAACATGACAATCTCGTAATATGACGGCCACCACGCCGCCTTACAAGGCTCTAAGTTCAATTCTACGAGAATGTTGTACACTCCACTTGTACATGCAAGATTTAGCAGGTGGCAAGATAAGTGAATTCCTTTCAGCAATCCTCCGTTCGTCAGTAGTATCCATCTATGAACATGCCAGCTATAAAAACCAATTGTAATAGTAAGTGTATGCATGGTGCAACCCACCTTTCTCGTAATCTTGGGCCTGGCCCACTGTCAGCCAATGCCACTCACATTTTGGTCTGACCTTCACCATACCAAAGCTTTGACAAAATAATCCGTTATTTCATTTTCTTCTTCAATCCAACTCCTTTGCCTTGCCGAAAGACTCTCAGAGAATGTTTGAGCAGAATCGAAATCTATCCAGAGGACCCTACCCTGGTCCCTAGAGATCATCATATTCCATGGCTTAGGATCACCATGAAGGATCCCCGCGAGATGAATGTTCTCGAGTATATGATCAAGTTCCTGTAGGTATTCTGATGAGAAATTGAAAAGGCCTATCGGCTGCATGTTCGGGACATATTCCATGAGAACGGCGTTTGGAGGCAGCTTGTCACCAAGAAACATTTCCAAATTAGGCCAACGACTCGGCTGTATAAGTAATTGTCCTGTAGAAGTCCGGAATGAGTCCTCGCTCGCATAAACCCTTGGCTTTATATCATCAATACGCGGTGGATTCACAGATAAACAAGTTGACTTCTCTGTAGGAGGGATCGTGTTCAGAGGGACCTCTATCATGGAACTAGAATTGATTAGGGAATATATTATACCAAGCACAGTTGAAATTACCACTTTCATCACGCAGATTGTCTCATGAACAAGAATCTTAAAAACCACAGAGTTCTTTGACTCGTTAAGCTTCTGACGTCACCAGATCCTATTTCACAAGCCTGCTGGATCATGTCTCATGTGTTTGGGTATCATAAACCTCATCTAGTAAAATAAAATAAAGTTGGGAGAAAGGTGGTTGTTCGGGAGGCTAGTTACAGGCACTTAACGACATACATTCATAACTTAACTATTGCACAAAGCGAGCTGGCACCCCCAAAACACATACCGTAAGTAAAAGGCTGGCTGGTTTTTCTGCCCGCTGTTGCTCTCCGTCACCTTACACTTCTAATCACGCTCCAAGCAGGGAGTCAGCTACAAACCTAATGCCACCCCAAACCTTTAGGACATATCTAGCTAGTCGTCTCCGATCACAGTCTCACATAGCCGCCATGTCAAGTACTGGTCGCCATAAGTCGACGTGGCAGTGGTAGATTGACCTGCGCTTCAGACGCAGCAGTGCACATAATACCCCTCTCCTCCCAAAGAAGGTCAGTGCATAAACATCAGCAATGTGCATTTTACACTTCCGTTATTCCCAAAAGATCTACATTACACTACGTTAACTTAGGCTTAGAGCCTCTATGTCAAAAGTCATGGCGATCATGAAGGCTTTAGACAACTCTGACCTATATACCATCGGATGGATTGCTGCTCTCCCCATAGAGCGCGCTGCAGCGACTGGAATGCTCGACGAGCGCCATAGCACACCGCTCGACTTTGTCCAACATATCTCCGACATGAACGCATACACCTGGGGCAGAATGGGTAGACATAACGTTGTGATTGTGTCGCTCCCTGCCGGCTTATATAGAACGGCTGCCGCTGGGAATACGGCGTCGAATCTTCTCTCATCTTTGCCACATACCCGAATCGGTCTGCTGGTTGGTATTGGGGGTGGTATCACCCGACCTGCCGATGGTCGTGATATTCGGCTTGGCGACATTGTCGTCAGCCAGCCACAGGGGACAACTGGAGGAGTCATTCAGTATGACCTCAAAAAGGCCTTATCGGATCAAAAGCAGGAGCGAAAGGACTTCCTTAGCATGCCTCCACAAGTGCTCCTCCAGGCACTAGGGTCTCTGCAAGCAGAACACGAACTAGAGGACTCCATAGTGCCTAAATTTCTGAGCGCCATGCCACGAAAGTCCCGGGCCGGCAATAGTACCAAAGGAAAGAATGGTTATTCCCATCAAGGGATTGAAAACGACAAGCTTTTCAGGTCATCATACACCCATATCGGTGGGCACGACTGCCTTGGTTGCGATTCAACAGAAGAGGTGGAGCGCGAAATTCGGGACACAACCGATCCGAAAATTCACTACGGCATAATTGCCTCTGGAAACACGCTTATCAAGGACGCTGCCACTCGAGACAAGGTTGTGGAGGATGTTGGTGAAGAATGCATATGCTTCGAAATGGAAGCTGATGGCCTGATGAACCACTTTCCATGTCTTGTGATCAGAGGAGTTTGTGACTATGCCGACTCGCACAAGAATGATCGGTGGCAACGATATGCCTCTGCTACGGCTGCCGCCTATGGGAAAGAGCTTCTCAGCTATGTGCCTGTTAGGGGACTTCAGGAGACACAGAAAGCTCTGGATGTACTCAATTCTCGTTGGTCTCCTTCTCCCAACTGAAGTTGAGCAATTTGCTTACATTCCTAGAGTGAATGAGGATATTAAAAGCCTCCATGTTCTAGCAAGCGACACAATAACCGGACTAGATGGTCTCAAGCGAAGTAGTCACTTCAATGCCATTGAAAAGTGGCTTTCACCTCCTGACACGTCGACCAATCTCAACGAGGCGCTGGAAAAAAGACTAGAAGGAACCGGTTCTTGGTTCCTTGAAAGCGAAGCATTTCAGGAGTGGGAAAAAAGAGAACGCCCGTTCCTCTGGGTGCATGGAATCCCTGGGTGTGGGAAAACAATTCTCAGTGCTACGACTATTGAACATCTCAATCAAACAGCTTCAATCGAGCCTTCGCCCATCACCCTTGATTTCTTCTTCGACTTCAGTGATTCCGATAAGCAGTCACTGAAGAAGCTTGTTCGATCACTTATTGCCCAGCTTTACTCAAGATGCCCAGATTCCCAAGCTGAGGCGGATAGAGTGTTTTCGTCTCATAATGATGGCAACCGTCAGCCAACAGAGAAACTACAATTTGAAACATTCTCGAGAATGCTGAACCACGTTAAAGTGGCTAATATTGTCATTGATGCTCTGGATGAATGTGAAACAAGAAAGGATCTACTCCTTTGGATAGAAAGTCTCATCAACCTGAAACATCCAGGCCTCCACCTTTTCATTACCAGTCGAAAGGAGGAAGAGATCGAGTCAGCACTACAAGACTTAGTCAATAATGAGAGCATTATTCCCCTCCAGGAAGATCTGGTTAATGATGACATTCGCGCGTATGTCCATCATCGACTGCGGGATGATCGCGGATTCGAGAGGTGGTCCTCGCACCCAAATGTACGGAGTATGATTGAGAGCGAGCTGATGCAGAAGGCTAATGGAATGTAAGTTGAAATTTGTTTACAATAGTTTAAAATATTGCAGTTGACTAGTACTAACTAACAATAGGTTCAGGTGGGTTGCATGTCAACTTGATGCTTTACAAGATTGCCTAAATGTCGACTTGCTTGAGAAGTCGCTCCAATCTCTGCCCAAGACACTGGAGGAAACCTACGGTAGAATCTTGGCAGGCATTAGCGAAAGCCATAGAGAGTACGCCCTGAGGCTCCTGCAGTTCTTGATATATTCAGATCGTCCCTTGGCGATCCGCGAAGCTGTTGATATTATGGCGGTCGATTTAAGTCGAGATCCCTGCTTCGATCCCGCACGGAGTATGCCAAACCCGCGAGAGATTGTGAGGTTCTGCTCGAGCCTCGTCTCTCTGGTTAAGAGGAATATTCAACCGACAATCAGTTATTCCTATTCAAACTACACGACAACAGACTCTTGGATCTCAGACGACCCAGAAGACTCAGATGACTTAGAGGAGTCAGTGGACTTGGATGGTCCAGAGGCCTCAGATGGGCAACAGGAGGAGGTAGAGGAGCTTCAGTTGGCACATCTCTCAGTTCAGCAATACTTAAAGTCCAGTCGGATTCAAAGTAGTGTCCCAACCCATATCATTGATGCAGGTGCGTTGTTTCAAGATGGCTTGTGTGAAAAGAGCGCAAGAGGTTGAATTACAAGAATATGCCTCGCATATCTGTCCCGCCCAGGCGAGCACCAAACCAGCGAACAAATCCGGGCGGAGTTTTCATTCGCGCATTACTCTGCTCAACTTTGGATTGACAACGCAACCGCCACTGAGACAGACAAGATGGTTGAACAAAGTATCATGGGCTTCTTTTTGTCAACGGGTCAAGCGTACAAGGTGTGGAGTAAACTATGGCGCCCAGATCACGCAAAATCAGGTTCGTATCTCGTAATCACAGCAGCTCCGTTGTACTATGCATCCTTTCTTGGTCTGAAGCATACGGTACAGTTGCTACTAGAGCTAGGAGCCGACGTCAACGCACAGGGAGGCCAGTTTGGCAATGCACTCCAGGCAGCTTTATGGAAAGGCCATACTGAGGCTGTGCAGTTACTCCTCGCAGCCGGCGCCGACGCGAATGCAGTCGGAGGCACTTATGAGAATTCACTCCAGGCTGTTGTATGGTCCAGACACAAAAACATTGTACAGTTGCTCCTCGGGGCCGGCGCCGACGTTAACGCTACCGGAGGCCTTTATAAAAGTGCACTCCATGCTTCCGCAGCCTTAAACCACAAAGGCATCGTACAACTACTCCTCGCGGCCGGCGCAGACGTTAATATAATCGGAGTATATCACGGAAGTGTACTACAGGATACTTCAGCCTATGGCTACAAAAGCATTGTGCAGCTACTCCTCGCGGCCGACGCCGACGCGAACACAATCGGAGGCCGTTATAGAAGTGCACTTATGGCTGCTTCAGTCTATGGCAAAAAAGACATCGTACAGCTGCTCCTCACGGCCGGCGCCGACATCGACGCATATGTAGGCTATGAGAATGCATTTTAGACCGCTTTGAGGTCCGGACACAAGGATATCAAGCAGCTACTGTTACAGGCCAGCGATAAGATCATTTAAGGCCCGGAGGAAGGGACAGGGAGAAGCGTGTGTGCGGGCGGCGCAGCGGGCACGAGGATCTCGAGGGTCCTTGGCAAGGTGAAGAGGTTAGGAAGATGGGCTGCAAGGAAGTTGATATCCTTCCAAGCTGCGTGGAAGATGGTATCTTCAACAGGCCGCCAAGCCATGTGACTCTTTCAATATTATTTTTTTGATTTTGAGAACCCAAACTCTCTGTTCTTGGAACTGGTACTGATATATGTGGCTTTCTAATGGAAATAAAGATCTCAATAAATGAATCAATTAGTCGAGAATATGGTAGCGGAAATAATCCCGGATCCTGATATATTTAACGATCACCAGCAATCAAATATTGTCACGAAAAAGGCTGATTTGACAATTGCAACGATGATCCCCCGTCCACAACCAATGTATGCCCATTGATATAGCTGGCAGCCTGAGATGCCAGAAACACCACCGCGTCGGCAACCTCCTCCGGGTCAGCCAGTCGTCTCATCGGCAAATCACCCAGCATAACATCCTTAACACCCGGTGCCTTGTCGAGGAATTTGTCCATCAACGGCCCCGAAACATACGAGGGAGCAACGGCATTGATTCTGATACCATTGCGCGCATTTTCAAGAGCTGCTCAATTGAGTCAGAAATCCAAGCAACGAAACAAACGAAAGAAAGAACTCACCAGCGGTTTGAACCAGCCCTTTCACAGCGTGTTTGGCCGCTATATAGTTGCCCACTCCGAGGAACGCCCCTTCCGAGGCCAGTGAGGTTAGTATTACGATTGAACCCCGGGTTTGGTTCCGCCGTCTAGTCGAAACTGGCTCCTGGATGGTCATTGCCCGGATCACCTCGCGGATGACTAGAAAGCACCCGATATTGTGCACCTCGTCCATAATCCTATAGGTTTCTAGGCTCATGTCGCTGATCGGGGTTTGATTGGCAGCGGGGGTCTTGACTTGGTCAGAATCATCTAGTAGAGGAAATCATGGCTGTATTGGCTTACTCCGGCTGTAGTTACGCAGATATCGATGCGGCCATAACGCTCTTTGGCTCTCGCTACTAATGCTTGCACCTGCGCCTCCTCACGGACGTCAACATGGTAGGCGGTTGCCTCGTAGCCTTCTCGGCCTGCGACTGCGTAACTCGACGTGGCGGTTTCTTGGGCTTGCGAGAGATCGATGTCGGCGCAGACTAGGGTGGTGAGGCCTTGCGTAACAAGTGTATAGGCGACTTGGCGCCCAATACCACTTCCTTTAATTTAATTGATCTATCAGTTTGGAGGGTGACTTGCGCAAAGAGTTGACCGGGGAGTTGGCATGTGATTGAGGCAGACAAACACCAGAAAGGGGAGGAAATGAACAGCATACCAGCACCAAGGACCAGAGCGACACCTTCCACTTGCATCGGAGCTATATCTAGCGGATTATGGGAAACAACCTCTGCAGTTGGTATCGACCTGAGTGTCCTTTATGCAGGCTTTCGCGCCCCAGCTTACGCCTCTCGGCGGTGGAGCACAATGTAAACCTAATGCGTATATGATCCTGGAGTACAACGTACACAAAGGAGCTATTACTAACTCACATATGTTGGATTAAAGGCCCAGGATGATATCAGTCCCAAGGCCAGGACCCGTAACACAGAGACAATAGATCGACCGGCGTCCTGCTACATTCAGTAAGGTCCGACTCGACAATTCCACGGTTGAGTCACCCGCAGTGGCGGCAGTGGCGGCGGGATTCCCGTTGGTCCATGGCTCCTTTGCATCCACCGATGAAACGGGGGCCAAATGCTAAATTCGGGAAATGTCTCTATTCAGGTTACATCGTCTGTCAACCCCTGTATAGCTTCACAATATCCCAATAATGATAGGTATTGTCTCGGGGACATATCTCCACCCCGACACGCCATCAGCCTTTTGGTTAAAGGCGAGATTCGAGCGGTGCCTAGAGCCAATTAATCTCGCATCCCTATTTTAATACACTGATATGATCAACGAGAGGTCCGGCATCGATCACCCAGCAATCACCCTCACCTCAATATGCCGTGGACATCAGCCAAACACTCACCGAACAACTTCACCCGGCCCCTTGGCCCCAACGAGGTGTTCATCAAACTAATCAGTGATCCCGGCCACCCGCTCGGTCGTGAACACTGGGCCATCAACTATACGGCCACCATCAGTCCTCGTGGGGCATTCAAAGCCTTGTCGGACTCGCCTGACCTTCTACCATCCCTCATCCGCTACAGCTGGCTACATCTGCGCTTCCAGCACCCCAGTCTAGCTGCGCATCCGGACTCCAACTCCAACGCCGTCTACACGGTTCCCGACTCTGCCGATGCTCTTAATGAATGGGCCTCGCAGACCTTTACAGTGGAGGCCGACGCCCAGTCCGCCAACGAGGTAATTCCCACCATTGCACCAGCTGCGGACGCCCGGCTGTACTATGTCCCCCAATCAAATGAGCTTCTCCTACACACCGCACACTGGCGAATGGATGGAGTCGGTGGCCTGCTTCTCCTCGGTCAGCTGGTAGACCTGATGGTCTCGCACGCCGACACCCTCGTCTCGGGGAAGCTGCCAGACCCGTTCGATTCCTTCCAATGGGGATCGGAGGTCACACGGCTGGCGCCACCGGTCGAAGAGGCCGGCAACATGCCCCTCACCGCGACCGACGAGCAGAAGGCTGTCGCCCACGGGACAGTCGGCACATTTGCCCTGGTGGCGGGCGCCCTCGGGGTACCCTATACCGGGGATGCCGCGACTGTACCGTCCGGCACACGGGCCGCCGAGCTCAAGTTTTCTCCCACCACCACGTCCGCCGCTGTGTCTGCCGCAAAAGCACGCGGTGTCGGGATGACAGCTGCCGTGCATGCCAGTCTAGCCGCGGTCAACTTCCGACACGCGATCATTGAGCATCAGGGCCGCCACTACACCAGTACCATCAAACAGTCGCTGCGGCCGTATCTGCCCGAACCGTACTCAACCCCCGCGGCGGCAGCCGGGCTATACACGTCTGGCTGGTTAGCTCGGGTTGACCGCTCCGGGACCTGGGAGGAGAATGCACGCATGTATCAGGTGGAGTATGAGAAGGGCATCAGTAGCGAATATCTCCAGGCGCACCGCGAGTATGCGTCCACTTTGGTGGATGTGATGAAGAATCTGCCGGCTCCGACAGAGCCGCCTAGCGATATTGATATCAGTAGCATGGGGATCATGGAGAAATATCTGGAGCGCGAATATGGAACCCCGGAGCGTGGGATTGGCATCACGCATGCCGGGGTGGGCGTGGAGATAATTTCGCGCCAAGGTGTCGTTTTTGTGTGGACGTTCCGTGATCAGTTGACACTGCGGCTGGTTTATAACGAGGCTTTCCATACTCCGGAGCAGATGACGGAGTTTTTACATGACATTCAAGCAAACCTGTTGAAGGAATTGGGGGTAGTGGAGTAGACTGTTAGATTTAAATAGGTCAGAATATAACGGCCTGCACTATAAATTTACTGTGTGTGATCCTTTTAAGCTTGCAAAATGAGTCGGTTAATGTATGAATCCTCTTTGAATAGTTATTTCCTGTATGTTTAGCAGAGGACAGACATGCAACAAAACATAAAAGCAGAACCAAGCGACACGTGTGCTTGAGATCCGTCATACACTATCCCGCTCCGAGACCGATCGCGTTGCTTCAATGGTAGTTTGAGTGCGATACCTGTTCGAAGTCCCCGAGTACTGGTCCATCAGGATGGCCTCTCTGTCTTCTTCGATGGGACGGAATGATCGGTTACCACTTAACAAATCCGACGCAGTTTGCTTGCTTGTAGATAATGACAATGCACAGGTACTGGGTTGCTTATTCCTGCGTCCCAGGCGGCGTGCGAGTTCCATAATATTAGGGAGGCAGACGGACATGAGAGAAATCGGGCCTTCACACTGCACCCAACAGATATATTCGATGGTGCTCCAGGTCAGATCGGCTTCCAAGGCCGAGCCAGCCTTGAGCAGAGTAATGAGGCGACCGACAGACAATATGACCACCCTGGCAGGTGTCGATACTGGTTAGCAAGCTCTTGATGGATCGGGCTTGATGTCCTCGGGGAACTTACGAGTAACCGCAGATAAAGAGGCCAGTTAGCATGATCTTCTTCGCCTTGGTCATGTGCAACGACCAAAGAAGTGGCAGTGGGATCAACAGGATGATCAGATCCAGGATCGCGCTGGGCGCAGCAGTCCCGGTAAAGAATTTCCACTGCTTGAAGCATTTGGCGTCTGGAACGGCTTCCCAAGAGGCATCAATGGGCGTACACTGGAAGGTGGTCGCCAACCAGGCGCCGATCAGCCAGCAAACGCAGAGCGTACCGACCACCCAGAGCGTAGGGCGGACCCAGGTTGCTCCCCGTCTGAGCACTCGATTGTAGAAGCAGAGCACCGATAATTTTGGCAAGGTAATGCATGCATCGTATAAGTAGGCAGCAGCGAAGATAATCTTGGGGCCCTGGAGTTGATTGCTGATGGGTAATGTAGCTGAATGACGACCCAACCCCAGGGAGATCCAGTAGAATATGAGGGCCGATTCGGCGATAATGAAGGGCTACAGAGTGTTACCACACAATCTTCTTCCTCAAATTAAGGAAAACGCCTCTGGGGAACGTACTAATGTCAGGATGGCAAATGCGTCGTCATAGCCAAACTTGTGAGTGCGCGAGCCCCAGATGGACCAGCATCGGAGGGCGACCGAGACGACCGCTAATATGAGCATCACGACACAAAGGGCGATGAGCCCCGGCTGTCGATTGCCATCAGACTCTGCAGGAGACATGTTACCACCGCTATCTCTCGAGTCTGACGAGGAATTGGTCTAATCATAGGTATAACTGGGGGAGGACGAACCTGAGGAAAAAGGAGAAGATGCAATGCAACAATAAATCAAAGGCAGTTAGTGCAAGGATAACCACTCACGGCCTGACATGCAGATACGTACTCCGTACGGAGTACGATGTACCTAATTAAGACACTATCCGTGCGGAGTATTGGGGGCCATATTGTTTTCTGCATTAGTCTGGTCTCTTTGAAACAAACACGGGTGACGGCCTCGGCTCCGGGCCGTAGAGATCCATTATCTGATGAAGTTCCCTGTTTTGTGCTGAAAGAAGATCGCCAGTCCAATTGGATAAAACGGCCCGATCCACAGTCCTGTGCAACTATGCATTAGCGTATCCACTACTGCATCGAGTGTAGATATCACATATCACACCCGAGGGTGTTTGCCGCCGAGTCTACCGGGGGTGAAAAGACATAAGAAGATAACATAGGCGCTTGGCGCACAATAATAACGCTTCAATCGTAGTCCTCTTCTTAATACACCCGAGATTCCGACAAAACACTGCTGTTTTGAACATTAGGCGCTAGAATGGAGCAACCAGCATTGACTCCTGCACGACAATGTGAGCCAATCGCGATTGTTGGCATAGGTGGGAGCGCTACATCTTCATTGAATTCGGTGTACTGACATAAGCATTAGGATGCCGATTACCAGGGAAAGCTTCATCACCATCCAAACTGTGGGAATTGCTCATCAAGAACGACACGGGCCATTGTGCCGTTCCATCAGAGCGCTATAATGCAGCGGCATATTACCACCCGGATGCCGAAAGACCAGGAAGTATCAATTCGACCGGTGGATATTTTATTCAGGAGGACATCCGAGCCTTCGAGAACGCGTTCTTCGGGATCAACAACCTCGAAGCCACGTCCATGGACGCCCAGCAAAGAAAGCTCCTCGAAGTGACCTACGAGGCGTTGGAGAATGCCGGTGTACCGTTGGAAACGATCCAGGGCACAAATACCGGTGTGTATGTCGGCAATTTCACCAACGATTTCTTGAACATGCAGTACAAAGACTCGGAGTACTTTTCCCGATATAGTGCCACGGGATCGGGACTGACCGTGCTGGCGAACCGGATCACACATTGCTTAGATCTGCGTGGCCCGTCCCATGTCGTTGATACGGCTTGTTCGTCGTCCTTGTATGCACTACATTCGGCGTGTTTAGCCTTGGATGCCCGGGACTGTGACGCGGCCGTGGTGGCTGCTGCGAACCTCATCCAGTCTCCGGAGCAGCAGATGATTGCTGTGAAAGCTGGGATTCTATCACCAGACTCGATATGTCATACCTTCGATGAATCAGCCAACGGATATGGTAGAGCGGAGGGTGTATCCGCCGTATATCTGAAGCGGCTCAGTGATGCATTGAGGGATGGAGATCCCATTCGCTCGATCATCCGAGGAACCTCAGTCAACGGGTGAGTTTTGTTACTGTGGTTGTAGGCCTAAATGTTAATCGTAATGCCTAGAAATGGACGAACACCAGGAATTGTCCAGCCAAGTGTGGAAGGCCAAAAGGCCGTTATTCGGGCGGCATATCGTCGGGCAGGTCTGGAGCCGGGAGACACGGACTACATCGAGGTAAGCTTCTCCGAATACTGGCAAATTATCATACTGACCGCGCAAGGCGCATGGGACAGGCACGAAGGTCGGTGATCCTATGGAGGTCAAAGCCATAGCTGATGTTTTTTGTCATCGGACGGGACGGCCAACCCTCGTTGGGGGGATCAAGCCGAATGTTGGTCACAGCGAAGGGGCGAGCGGTCTTTCAAGCATAATCAAAGTCACCTTAGCACTCGAAAATCGGTTACTCCCTGCGACGGCCGGGGTTAAGGCGATCAACCCAAGCATCAAATTAAAGGAATGGAACGTGGACATTGTTACTGCCAATCAAGCGTGGCCGGTATCTCGGGTCCCACGAGCCTCGGTCAATTCGTTTGGTTTCGGGGGCTCAAATAGCCATGCAATTCTGGAAGCAGTACCGACGGACCTATTGACCAACAGTTGTAGGGATCCGCTGGTAGGCAAAAATTCAGGGAGGCTCTATCTGTTGCCTCTTTCGGCTCGATCTGAGATATCCCTCAGACAGATGGCTAGTAACTTAGCTGGTTTCGCCTCTCACTCAGCTCGGCAGATTCCAGTCGATGATCTGGCTTTTACCCTGAGCTGTCGTCGCTCCAAGCTGGCTGCTCGTGGCTTTTTCATTGAATCTCAAGCGAGCCTAAATAAAGGGCTCAATATGGCGAGCCTGAAACTGAGAGATTCTGACTGTGAAGGACCATTCCCGTTAGCCTTTATTTATACTGGACAGGGTGCACAGTGGGCTGGAATGGGCAAAGAGCTTCTGAGCCATAGCCGCATGTTTAGGAAGACCATAGGCTATCTTGACTCTTGCCTCCGAGCCCTTGATCCAGAACACGCGCCCGCCTGGACACTGGAGGGTGTTCTGCGAGGTGATGAAAACTGTGATATCAACGCCGCAGAAATATCACAGCCATTATGTACCGCGGTGCAAATTGCGCTGACGGACCTACTCAAAGATTGGGGTGCTCTGCCAGCGATGGTGACGGGCCACTCCTCTGGGGAGATAGGAGCAGCGTATGCGGCCGGGGCTATCGATGCCCGGCAAGCCATCTTCGCGTCTTTCTTCCGCGGAACTGCTGTCACCGAGGGCTCTATTGAGGGTTCCATGGCTGCCGTGGGACTTGGGAAAGATCAGGCTGAGGCAATAATCGAGGAGTGTGGGTTGAGAGAGTCGGTTACCGTCGCTTGTGCGAACTCGCCAGAGAGCACGACCGTGAGTGGGGATACAGTCGCCGTCAATGAGCTTCTTAAGAGATTCGAAGAAAGGGATATCTGGGCTCGGAAGCTAAAGACCGGAGGTAAAGCGTACCACTCGCATCATATGAAGATTTTGGGGCCCAAATATGAGGCCTTACTCGAACGCTATTGGGATACGGCTAATGGCTACCACGATACAAATGGCTACAACGCAAATGGCTACAACGAAAATGGCAGTCACGACACAAATGGCAATCACGATGCAAATGGCAACCACGACATGAATGGCGCTCTGGATGGACCGTCATCAGTTGTCATGATTTCCAGTGTGACTGGTGAGTTGGTGAGTACAAATCACGTTGGGATGCCCACCTACTGGCGTAAAAACCTCGAATCTCCAGTGCTATTTGACAAGGCTATTAAAGCTATCCTGGAGTGTGGCAGTTACCATCTGGTAGAACTTGGTCCGCACTCGGCTTTACAGCTCCCTATCAAGCAGAACGCCTCGACACTCGAACAATGTCGCTATATCTATAATTCCTCTCTCATACGTGACCAGGATGCTTGGTTGACTACCCTTCAGCTTGTCGGCTCATTGTTTTTGCATGGGCACGATGAGCTTCAATGCCACAAGATGTTTGTGGATAGACAGACTGTCTTGGTTGATTTGCCTCCTTATTCCTGGGACTACAGTTCTCCCACCCTGTGGTCTGAGCCTCGCGCTAGTATTGAGTTCCGTCACCGCAAATACCCCCGGCACGACCTTCTCGGGTCCCAAGTGTTAGGAGGGAGCACCGCAGGAGTGACGTGGCGAAATGTATTGAATCTCAATGAAGCCGAATGGCTTACGCACCATTGCCTGGGCCCGTCGGTGGTATTCCCCGCCGCTGCATATATTGCAATGGCAGTCGAGGCGATGTGTCAGGTTGCAGGTCTGCAGCTGGAAGATTGTCCTGGTGTGGAACTTCGCGATCTCAACTTCATCAAAGCTCTCGACATGGATCCCGAGCGAAGGCCAACGGTGGAGATATTTGCTGAGATGCATTCGATGAAGATTTCCAACCTGACGAATTCGGATAAATGGTGGAGATTCGATGTGGTCTCAGTCGACAGTGATTCCCAGACTACCTTGCATATGAACGCGGCTGTCCGCCTAGCAGAAACCTTGCCACAGACAACTCGCCGTATTAAGCTTGACAGATCAAAGATGCAACAGGATGCGGTTCGTGTCTGGTACGACAGGTTCACTCAAGAAGGGCTCAACTGGGGTCCCAAGTTTGCTGTCATGGAGGAGGTCTTCCGAGATCGTGCGCGCACAGCGCACGTAGCCGCAGCCACTACACATCTCCAGCGGGGAGAAATGTTTGGTCAATACATTGCACATCCAATTTCTATAGATGCGATGCTACAAACGGCCTTTATTGCGACTACTGGCGGCTGGCTTAATAAGCTCCGGGCTACCGTCCCTGTTGCGATTGACTCGGTTTACATCGCCCCTCCGTCGGCCCTCGACATGGATACCGACAGACCATGGTACATTGACACCCAGTCAGAGAATGTAGGCTTTGGAACGGTTAAGATCAATGCAGAGCTATTGAATTCGTCTGGTCAGGTCTTGATCAGGATGGGCCAGGCTCGATGTATTGCCTACCAAGGGAACAGACAGACGGAAACCACTGAGCAACGCAATCCTCTCGTGAGAGCTACATGGAAGCCGGATCCCTCTGCGCTAACCAGCACGGGTCTTGACGAGTATCTGAACCGTTTCAGAGAGGACTGCGGCTCTATGAAATTGGCTGATGGGGACGCGCTGCGCTTGGCTGGTGCTCTGGATCTGGCCTGTCACCAGAGGTGTAATAGCAATATCCTCGAACTTGGCCACCAAAGCCGGATAGCAGAGACTGTTCGCGGGCTCCTACGTGTCGACTCCTCTTTCCGAAGGTATAACACCTATTGTCGTGGGGTCTTTGCAAACGGTGATCTAGTCGGTGCGGAGGTTTTCTCGGAGACTGCAGACGAGCAGAAAATAGAGCGCCCAACGGGGATTCCACAGGAAAGGAAGTTTGATATAGTTATCATCCCCTCGGTATGTTTGACCTTTCACAAGTCTGACTTGACGCTGATATATGATAGGTTGATCTCTGGACGCCGGCCCTTTGCAGCAGACTCGCACCGGGAGCAACTGTCATCGTGGCGGGTGATGCACCCACTGACGATGTCACTTGGACGAAGGTCATCAAAGGAAGCGGCTCTTTTCCTGTGACAGTTGCGACCATAGGCGGCCTGGCTAGCAAGGGAAAGGTCGAGAAACCCCCGACAATCCTGGTGAGCTCTTAGATGACCTTCCATCACGTATATTTCTGACAAGTGTGCAGGTGACCCGAGATAACAACATAACACGCCTAGATCTACAGCTCCAAAAGGTCTTACAAGAACATCTAGGATCCGTGGTCAATATTATTGAGTTGTCCCAGGTCAGCATCGCAACTGTTCCGGACCGGTCATTTGTCATATCCACCCTTGAGCAGCAGCAGCCCCTTCTGAGTAGGATCGGCCAGAGTGAAATGGAACAGCTGAAAAGTATTACCGATCGTGTAGCCAAGATCGTATGGGTCGTCAATGGCGGCTTCGTGGATGGAGAAAACCCCGACTTTGCGCCAGTTCTGGGACTCTCTCGTGCGCTTATGCTCGAACAGCCTTCCCTCCAATTTGCGGTTCTAGATGTGGATGAGAAATCAGCATCTCCCGACACGCTGCGCAACATTGTCAGTGTTTTGGACCGACTGATCCAAGAACCGGAGCCGGACTTCGAATTCGCGCAACGAGACGGCGTTCTTCATATCTCTCGCTGGGAACCAGACGAGCGTCTCAACGAAACCTTCCGTCTCAAGCAGAATAAGGAAACCATTGACCTTTCTCTAGCAAGTGCCGGGCGTTGCGAGTTAGGTATCAAGGACCCGGGACAAATGGACACTATCCATTTTGTGCAGAAGGAGTATCCAACCGCCTTGCATCCAGATGATGTGGAAATCAGTGTGAATAGTGTAGGCATGAATGCAAAGGTAAGTCTCATGCTTTCGATGATCTATTAGCGGCGTTGGTAACGAGAAATAGGATTTGTATGCCATAAGCGCCAAAGTGGACACCAAGGATGCATCTTGCTCGTGTGAATGTGCCGGTGTTATCACCGCTGTGGGCGCCAATGTTTCCGAGTTCAAGACTGGTGATCGTGTAGTTGCAATGGCCCCCGGTCATTTTGCAACTGTCGAGCGCTTCCCACATTGGGCAGTATGTAAACTGAGCGACGAGGAGGATTTTACGGTAAGTGGTCGAGTCTTTACACAAAAGCAGAAGCTCATGCGTGCAGACTACATCCACTATTCCGATTGTTTTTTCGACGGTGATTTATGGACTGAAGCATCGGGCAAATCTGCAGCCAGGAGAGGTATGTTGCTGTGGCTCCTCACTGGCATGCGCTGGGCCTAATATTGTTTAGACCGTCCTTATTCATTCCGCTGCCGGGGGCGTTGGGCTTGCAGCAATCCAATACGCGAAGCATCTCGGGGCAAAGGTAACATACCTGCGGATCCAGCAGTAAGTTTGAACTAACTAAGTCACTCGATAGATTTTTGCCACAGTCGGGAACGAATCTAAAAAGTTATTCCTCGTCGAGAAGTATGATCTGAACCCAGCGCACATTTTCAGCTCGCGCGATTCCTCCTTCCTCCCTGCCATTATGGAAGCCACTTCTGGTCAGGGGGTTGATGTGGTTTTGAACTCTCTCACCGGTGATCTTCTGCACAGCAGCTTCAAAGCTTGTGCCGACTTTGGCCGCTTTATAGAGATTGGGAAACGTGACATCCTTGATCACGGCGTCCTGGATATGTCCACGTTTGGCCGCAATGTCTCCTTCATGGCGTTTGACCTGTCTAATCTCTATCTCTCCAACAAGCAATCCCACCATCAACTCTGGAAGTCCCTGCTTACAGAGAGTCTGGAACTAGTAAGATCCAAGATCTGTGAGCCATGTTTCCCAATCAAGACATTCGACTCCTCAGATATTACCGATGCGTTTAGGCACTTCTCCCTAGGCACACGAATGGGCAAAGTAACCGTGTCATTCCAGGATCCGAACACGAAGGTAAGAGTGATTCCGACAAAATATGAAACCGTTTTTAGTGCCCAAAAGTGCTACCTCATGGTCGGGTGCCTGGGCGGGCTAGGTCGCAGTCTGTCCAAGTGGATGATATCTTGCGGTGCTCGACGATTCATCTTTCTGGGTCGATCTGGTACCGATAAGCCCGAGGCAAAGGAAATAGTCGATGATCTACGCGCTCAAGGAGCCCACGTCACAGTGATCCGGGGAGATGTTTGCCGGTATGAGGATGTCGAACAGGCCTTGGAAGCCGCAGATTATCCAATCGGTGGCGTAATCCAGGCGGCCATGGCACTGAGCGAGGCTCTCTGGAGTAATATGCCGCACAGCGCATGGCACACTACCATCGGCCCCAAGGTGCAGGGCACTTGGAATCTTCACAATGCGTTAGGCCAGGGTCGGGACTCCCAGCTAGACTTTTTCGTCATGACATCGTCCATCTCCGGGACCGTGGGCACAGCGACCGAAAGCAACTACTGCGCTGCCAACTCCTTCTTGGACGCTTTTGCCCGCTATCGCAACCGTCTCGGGCTGCCGGCCATCTCCATCGGCTACGGGATGATTTCAGAAGTGGGATATTTGCACGAGCACCCTGACATCGAGGCCCTCATGAAGCGCAAAGGGATCCACCCCATCAACGAAGACGAACTGATCCAGATCATGAACATGGCCCTTGTGAACCAAAGACCACGCACGTGGGACTCTCGATACGATCATCTGGCGGGCAGCCACCTTCTCACTGGGGTGGAATTTATCGGACTCCAGGAGCAACGGGAACGAGGATTCGAGGGTGACAATCATGTCTTTGCCGATCCTCGAGCTGCATTGTTCACTGCGTCCTTTTCCCGCCGCGCCGCGGGCGAGACCAAGACACACAGCGCAGCGGCGCATCTCCCAGGGGAGATCGCGCGAGCGCTGCGCGACAACCAAGATACGGAATACATCATTGATGCACTGCGGGCCGTTGTATCGAAGAAGCTATCCAATCTTATCCTTCTGCCGGAGAGCGAACTGGAAGCGGATCGTCCTCTGGGCGAATTCGGCTTGGATTCTATGCTAGCTGCCGAGTTTCGGACGTTTATTTTCCGCACGTTCGAGGTCGACGTACCTTTCGTTGTGCTCTTGAAAAGGAGTACGACTGTGAATCTCCTAACCGGGCTGATTGCCCAAGGCCTGCAGACGAGTGCTTAGTATCTCTTGATTGTGGTCCGGCAGTCCCATCAGTTTGCGCTTCTTATTCTAGTATTATTTTCTTAGCGTATAAATGGACGAGATGTCCCTATGTTGGTCCAGGTCAAACCAAACAATTTCCCACTTCATTGTATATATATGTTGTAGTGTGTGTTGGATTTAGGCCATGTGAAGTTCCTGATAGGGGGTTTCATAATTGGACCGGGGGTGTAAGGACAGAGCAATTTAACTGGCCGTAAAGGGCTGGATTGATTAGGACCGAGAAGCATGGGAGTGGTACACGGCACACGAAGTTCCTTTGTCATATCCTTTGTCAGAGTTAAGCTAGGAAGACATTGAGATGAGGCGAATCTGAGTTCTCACAAAACAAGAACTTACTTCATCTGGAATCCATGAGTCAGGCGAGACAAACCCTTCCTCAGCGCATCGCCGGCGGACCCGCTGGTGGTTGGTATCCCTATGGGGGAAGTTTCTCAATGCCATTTACCCCAGCGGCAAGGTTATTCCTCGGACCGCAGTCTGGAATGGGTCTCTTTCTACGATCAGATTGAAATCCACGGATACACAGTTTATTTAAGACTTTTCGAAGGAAACTCTGGGGGATAGGTGACTGTCCACAACTCTTCTGGGGCAAGAATAAATGGAAGGAAGGAGATAGTGAACGAATTTCCTTATTCAGAGGTACGTATAGCTTCTGTGATTAGCGAACATCTCATAGATAATAACACGTCGAAGATCTCGAGGTTGCCAAACACCAGGAACCAGAAATTCGTGCATAATTCCAACAATTCATTAAAGAGTTCTCAGACAGGTGCGGAGATGATATACACGACTTGTCTCATCGAAGGATTGTTGGTCCAAGACCAATGAATGTTTGTCGAGATATGAATATCACCAGTTTTGATGTCTCAAAGAACGAATGGGATCAGCGCTCATTTGAATATGCGTTTTCCAACTACAAGAGGTATGTTTATGTCTTTGAATTACAAAGCCCTTCCTCTGTGAGAACTCTAGTGTGGATTATGCTCATGCTCAACTGGATAGAACTACCCATCAACAGCAATTTCCCGGATCGATATACAGTCCTTGGTCTGCTATAAGAGCACAGAGCCAAGGGTGGCTGAGTCAAGGATGGCCAATTGATTCCCATTCTTCGTCGAGTCAAATCGAGCAAGCTAGCAAATTGGAATTCGTCTCATTTTTCAGTTGCGAGAAGGAAGGAGCGCGAGAAGAGTGGTATGGCGATGTACCCTGGGCTGATAAGTCAAACTAAAATCTGGGCTCATTCAGAGTCTGTGATTTACTGAGGGGCAAACTGATCGCGGCGCATGTTTTCAGGGGTCATCGATTGCACTGTTTGTATGTTTGATCCATATCCCTATATGTAAATGCCTAATAGTACTGCCTGCAAAAATTCTACTGGCGCACTGGCTATGGGCTGCCGTGCCTACGGCTTCAGTTTTACTCAGTGAGCAAAGAGCGGCAAGGGGTACTAAAACAGAAAGGGAAATACATCTCAGCCTAAAGGGTGTATATGTATCGTGCGGAAGACTAAACATGGACTTTCCTCTTTCGGAAGCATATATTCACTGTGCTAAAAGGGCAATACAAGCTATATACATGTACTCGTGAACAAAGTATCATTCATCCAACCCAATGTCCCTCTCCTTCCTTAGCGTTGCCTCCTCCGTCAAATCAACATCACCTCTCATAGCCCGACTCTCCTCTTGAGTCGACACGTACCGAATCAAGCTTTCACACAACCGATCCAGAACCCACTGGGGCTCCGTCTGTTTTGCCAACATGGGACTGTTCTCACCGATCCAATCCCAATTGAGAAGTCCATATTCGTCTTCCTCCCTTACCGGCTGGTCTCTCTGTGATAACGGCCGAGTCTGCGGATCAGTGAACTGAATAAGCCGGGTAAACTCAACCCATTCTTCGTAGGAGTATCGTTTTCGCTTTCCTTCCCGCGCCTGTTTCGTGACGCGACGAATAGCAAAGGCAAGTTGTTTGGCAAGCTCGAGTGGGGTCGGATCGCGGGCAAGTTCCTCGAGGGGTGGGTGCGGATGAGACTCGGCCAAGATATCGCTTTGAGCATCAGGTTCACCATCACCAGTGTTCTCGGGGTCCGCTCTTTCTCGGGTGTCGGATTCATCAGCGCCCTCGAGTGGAAAACCGCGCTGTCGCCGCTTTTTCTCTTGGCGAGATCTCATGCACCGAGCAACGCCGGGAATTCGAGCTAAGAATATCTTGTAGACACTGGATTGAGGAAGGACGACATAGTCGGCGACTATATCCGTGCCGCGCTTGAAGCTGGCGACGACTGTGTCGCTCATCTCGGAAATGAGCATGGTCATGGTTGGGATGGCGATTAGAGACCATACCACAAAGAAAGGTCTTCCTGCATTCGACTGCGGTGTGAAATCGCCGTAACCGATGGTTAGAAGGGAGACGAAGCAAAAGTAGAGTGCTTCGAAGTAGGTCCAGCCTTCTAATTTCCAGAATACCACTGCTCCGCAGGACCACACAATTCCGAATGCAACGATGCTGATGACTAAATTGTTCCAACGACGGAAGCGCATGGTATCATACTGGATACGGCGCATAGCGTCAAACCGATCTTTTTCTTCGCGCATGACAATAATCCTGGGTCGGCGAGCCGTGGCAATGGCATCGATGGTGTTGCGAATTGGCCGATGAGGCCGATGGCGCTGAGTCTTGGATTCTTGGAGAGTGAGAGCCGGAGGGGTGATAGCTTCTTCACCACTCGGGCGTCTCTCATCGGGATATTTGAACTTGTGAAAACCGATCGATCGCTCGAAAGTGGATTCCCGTTTATGTTCAATGTGTCTGCGAATGACATTGTCGTAGTGAACCTCGCGAGCAAATTTAAAGATGCTTTCCACAACCAATCCCAAAATAATAATTCCAATGACTGCATATGGCCAAACAAGACCTCTACCGACAGTAGTGGTGGGAGTTATGTCGCCATACCCTAATGTGAGAACGGTGACATCGGAGAAGTACAACGCATCGGCGAAAGAGATTCCGAGCACTCGCTGGAAAATAGCTGCGCCAATCAATAGCCAAACCACCAATGCAGTCATTTGTAGAATCAAGGTTCGTTGCTCGTCTGTCAGCGCGAAATGTTGCGGGTATTTACCAAGGAAATATCCTAGCATGTTGACCATCAAGATGACGCTCAAGGTAAAGTAGAGGACTGCCGCAATGACGGCACTCCAGTAAGCCTGCGAGTAGGTCCTATCAATGCCTACCGGAGGAGCATAGATAGATGTGGCTGTGGTAATTCCACAGAGCTACAAACAATCGTTAGGTCTGGGACATACAAAACCAAAGACGTTACTCACGATTCCCGCGGCTAGGAACCACATAACGATCGTCACGGGCAAAGCTATGATATAGCGTACGACCTGGGTGAAATTGAACAGAAAAAATGCATTGCCCACAATTCCGCAGAAAAGCGAAACGGCATTAAGGATAGTGTCCCTATTCGCAGTATTAGAGAAACCTGATTCAGGGTACCATCTTGCTTTGTACTTACCAACGAGGATCTGGATACCCTTCTTGAACGGGGTTTGCAGCAGGGCCATCCTGATGTGAGAGAATTTTGCTTCGCCACGGCATAACCAGGGCAACAATTGACATGACATTGGCGAGTGGTCCCGTTGTCGCAGCAATCAGTGGGATGGCCGTCGATGCAATCCACCATGACTGGGGCTCGTCATCTTCAGGTGGTCTCATGTGAAACTGACTGCGGATCCATTCCCATAGGGATATTCTATCAGACTTCTCATCTGTGGGCATTTTATTCGTCATGGATCCATGATGCATCCTTCATCTAGCATGACCAAGTGCCCAAATCGGGGGCAGGTGCAAGTGGAAGTTCCTTGTAGATCTGAGACCAGGTCTGCTAGATATTTTGAAGCACCAGGTCACTTGCCAGGAACGAGATGTTTGAGTTAAGGGAAACTTCAAGGGTGGCATCCTCAGTTGGCAGGGTGAGACTGCATCGGGAGAGCGAGAGAGGACGGATAGAGGTCTTGGTAGCTATTGACTCCCCAAAAGGTCTCTAAAGAATATCGACTCGAATGATATCCCAGCTACTCCTCTTTAATTTGAGGGTTCAAGTACTGCGGTACCTACAGGTAGCATCACGCAGCAAATGATGTCAAAATATTCCAGCTCTGATAGCCGGCGGTCCCGTGACCTTTCCACATGCGTCATCATTATTCTTGTCAACACGACACAGTTAAACTCGAGACATCTGGAAGTTATTGAATATTGAATATGAGGATCTTGTACAGGCTTGGCGAATCTGTTCAAAGAAATCCCAAAAAAATAAGTCTGACAGGGTAAATAAGGTTGCATAACCACATGGACTTGGAATCCTGGCCCCGGCCATAAAGTAGATAATCTTATGGCCGAGGTCTCACCTGAGCAATTCCATAGGCTTATGCGTTTATTTCGAGATCAGACCGTCTTGAGCGTTCCATCTCATGTCACCCTCCAAGAAAGTCCACAATATATCGACATATGGCCGCTCGGCTTATTTTTCCTCAACCCTCAAAAGCCAACGTCTCACAAGCTCGGTATTATTCCAAATCAACATGATTTATAAAACAAGTCTGAGACAATATATAAGCTAATAACTGGTTCATATAACCGATTTAAACATATAACTACCTAATGAAATCAAGAGTAATATTTCTCCAAAAGCTTTATATGTCAAATCCAACATCTTAATATCAACCAAAACTATAATAGCCGTCACCATCCATTATAAATTCTCGTATCCAGGATCATCATGCAACCCAAGACAAAGCTAGAGGTCATGCACGCAACCCCCCACACCCCTGCACCTCAGCTGTGATAGGATCGCCACACTCTCGGGTACCCCCAACGTGCATGCAGATGGAAATTCGAAACCTAAGCCAATAGCCATTGCGATCACCTGCATGAGCAAAATAGCGCTGGGACCTTTATATGAAAGGTGACATCAGCCGTCATTAGATAGTACCTGCTTTGGAGGCTCCAGTAAATCGCTATTTAATATTAAAACTGAGCAATCAACAGTCTCCGGGTTAAGACTCTATGGATCTATAGAGCGGGGTAATGATCCTGTACGATGTAGATACTTGCATTGTGCTGCATATGAAGCGCCGGGGTGAGGGGTAGCTCTATATCACTATCACACTGAATTTGAAAATATATGTACGTGGAAATAATATAAATTTTACACGGAATACGTTTGGAGAATGTATAGTATAACGAGTGTTAAGGGTTTATCGTTTGGGTCGAGTTCTATATACCTTCCTCCGACCCATAAAATCAACAAAGGTAACAGTGTAATGCAAAAGACAAAAGAAATAAAAGAGAGAGAGACCATAAAAAAGAAAACACGGATATAAGAAATCGCAAGATGGTATCATCGAAGCAGAGTGACACGAACTTCAACAAGACAGAACGGATTTGACGGCCAGAAATGAAAAAAAAAAAAAAGATTAAACGAGGACGCCAGAAATGGAATAGAACGGAGGGAACGCCGTCCTATGAGAGAAACGAGATCAAAAGCAAGGCGCCGGCACCAGCACCAGAAAAAAACCAAAAAACGATGATCTTTTGGGTCGAACCCAGGGCAACATCTGCCGATGGAATTCAGAAACAGTAAATGCGAGCAAAGCCAGCCGAAGCCAAAGCAACACGCTCCAAATGCGATTCAACAAATGTCAAATGCTCCAAGTGTAGATAAAAGCAGTAGTAGGAAAAGTCTCTGTCTCTTTGGGGGTATCGCTCCCGGCAGTCGGTATATAAAATATAAAAAAAAAGCGTATGAAAGAAAACATCCTATGCAGCCGCCGGTCGGCGCAGAATGTCTTCGCAGTTGGCGTCGAATCGCATATTCCAAAGACGAATACTATTCATGAGCTTCTCGGTATTTTCAAGCTCACGATCGCGACCGAAAATCGATTCGACAAATTCACAACCTGCATTGCGACCCATCGATACGGGCCCTTTGCCACCTTCTCGTTTGGCGGCTTTCCACATGTAAAGTTCGCAGCCCTTGAGGAGCTTCTTGAATCGGGACCAGAGGCGCTCGCCACTTTCCAGGAAGTCTTCGATAACTTCCTGCGCCTCCACGCGTTGGATGCGAGGGAGACATTCGTCGGCCCTCTTTACTTTGCCCGCTAGCTTGATCAACAATAGCCACAAGTCGCCCGCGACGTCGGCCATGGGCGTCGATGCCCCGTGATGAAAGACGGTCCAGTCGTAGATCCACTTGCCGAGGGAGTTTGCATCAAACACACTACCAAGCAAGATGATCGGCGCCTCCGTGGGGTCCCAGTTTTTGATCGAATAGCCTGCTGGAATCCCTGCGGCCTCGGCGTCATCTTCTGTGGCGATGGGTGGTGGTTTGGCAGTAGCTGGTGGTGGTTTGGGTTTATTGGGTGTGCGAGTTGATGTAGATTGGCGTCTGGTGCGAGTGCGTCTGGCAGCTTCGATATCCTCGTTGTTAGGAGCCTGAGTGAAGTAAAAATGAGAATCAGCTGGATTTGATTTGCGGTAAGAGGTCGAGGTGCGACGTTGGCCAGGACCATCTCGAGTGGGATTCGAGGTCTGGGGACGACCTTGGCGACCGGTACGGGGTTCGCGCGCGTTGGTGCGGACATCGAATGCTTCGTCGACCACATCTACGAAGATGGGTCGAGTCTGCGATTGCGACGGGTAGTATCCGTTGCCGAGGCCATCCCCCGCAGGATGACCGGTCGAGGAGTATCGGTGTTTGGGCTTTCCCGCAAAAGAAGCACTTACATGATCGTGCTTTCGCGATGGAATGCCATAGTCTGGGGAGGCTTCATAGTAGCCTTGTGGGTAGCCAGACGTATAGTATGGTGTTTCTTTGGTGGCCGTGTAACTGGCCTTGCGGTTATGTCGTCGCGAGGTGCCCCGGGGTGAAGCGTAGGAGTTGGCGAACTGAGAGGCGTAGTAGGCGTATTGAGGTGAGGTGGGAGGTGATTGAGTGTACTCGTAGGTGGACCACCCGGGCGGTGGACTGGAGTAATGATACATTATCGCACGAGCATATGGAGAAGTCGATCAGATAAATGTAAAAACGGCCGGAAATGCAAACAATCCAACAGCTAAAATGAAAAAAAAAGAACACCAAGTATATTATACAGGATATCGTGCACCCAAACAGAATCGACGCCGACTTTAGAGCAGGTCCAGATAGGTTTTTTTTTTTTTGAATAAGACCGTCACCGTGGTACGGTTTCTGATCGAAGAGAGGAGGGTTGAAACTGAATGTGCTGAGAGAGCATTTGAACGTTCTTCGGTCAATCCGAGGAAAAGAGAGAGAGTGCGTTTAGGGGGATCCTAGGACCCAAGATCTCCTGATAAAAGGAGATTGAGGAAAACAAAGAGCAGAGAGACCCTCTCCAAAAAGATGTTAATGGCTTTGAATTCAGAGAGGGAAAATTTTCAACCCGATGAAAGGGAAAAGGAAGATGGATCCCAATGTCAGCGCCGGCGATATTGGCGAAGGCCAATCAGTGCATCCGCTAGTGGGCGGCGCGTGTGAGTTGGCGTTGTGGGTTGTGGCGTTTGGCTTTCTTACATGTATTGAATTTCATGAATTTCAAGGTATTCTATTCATTTCCTCTTTTATATTTTAATTTAAGTATATAATATTCCTCCTTCTGGACAGGGCGCCTTTTATAGCTTGCGCTCGACCTCACTATTACATATCATGACTCAACTTTATGTGGCAATCTTGGAAATACATTCTAGTCACCATTCTAGTATAAACTAGTACTTTCTATCTCACTCGTGAATCTACTAGAACAAAAGTACCATGAAGTCTCATCCCTACCCCTCAACCTAGTCCAGATGGAGACGCTTCCATTGGACTATACAAACCGCTTGGCTGATAGCCCCTCAGTTGGATCACGCAGCGGGCAACTGCATTTTCCTCGGTATATTTGAATTTGCCGGTCCCAAGGCAACTGCCTAGCGAGAGTTTCTTTTTTTATCTGGTGGACTGACTCACTTTGAGGCCAAGGCAAAAAAAAATCAGGCGTGAAGGTCGCCACTAAGACGTAGTGCCATTCAGTGTCATTCTATAAAAGATCCTACTGGCTGCCTTACGGATGTCGATGGCACTAATTTAGATCAGCTGGCGTGTCATGGTTGGGTTGGATAGCGCAAAGCCATGTGCTTGACTTCCAGAACTAGGCTACATTTTCCATGCCTCGTACAGTTCCTCTGCATGAACGCCGTCATTAGTTGCAGCACGGAGAATACTGTATACGGTAAAATGGTACTTTATATTATTTATATAAAATAATAATCCTTTGAGATAATAAGCAGTATTTGAGACATAGTAACTACCGATATGTACTTGCTCACTATAAGCAGCGCTCGATGTATGCAGCAAACTAAAGCCGGTTCCATGGTTGAACCAACGGCATCCCAGATTTCACGACGGCCCATCCCGCTTCGTCCAGTGGTTCAGACTCCACTAACACCCCAGATAACTCGGACAATATGTATTCCAATGTTACTAGTAGTATCTGTAACATATATACGAACACGTTGCCATGGCAAGACACTAACGAGCCCCATCATGATATCCTTTACACATCCACTTCGCACTGCCATGTTGGGCGACATCACGGATCATGCATGGGCTTTACCGCTGCGTCGCTGGGCAGCAACAGCCATTTTGGGCTAAAATATAGAGAATTCGCAGACCGCAACTTGCTTCTTCGGTCTGATCAATAAGTTGAGTGGGCTGAAAAATCTTC